TATATCTATATGTAGAGAGAGAGATAACAGGTTAAATATGAATTGAGGATTATTTTCTTCGGGTGTTGGCACACACACAACAATCTATGTTTTTGCAGCACAGAAGCAGAGTATGTAATCTAAACATTTGCTGATGAGCTTTCATGCATTAAACGCATATGTGCGCATCCAGATGTGCAAACTCATGCGTGCAAACCCACGGAAACATGGTGTAAGTGATTCAGCATGTCTCAGCCAGCTCCAGGTCATTCACAAACCACGCGTTCTCAGCCAGAGAGGGACAGGTGCCAGCTCTGCCAGCGAGGCCTGCCAGATCGCAGTGTTTGACTGTTAGGAGCAGTGGAGAATCTGCCAGATATAGGACTCTCTCTGTCACACAAGCACACACACACATATTATCTTCCAAAGTGAGGATTGGATCTGCAGCACATCTAAGCCAGAGGGATAAATCCAGCTCAGTTAGCAAAGACGCAGCCGGAGTTAACTGTGAATAGAGAAAGTGGCTGATTAAAATTAAATAGCAGTGTCTTTTTTCCCTTTTTTTGAGTGTGTTCCAGCAGATTTACTACTGTTACTTGAGTTTATAACCCCGCTCTTTAATAGGCTACTCTGTATCATTAACTACTACAACATTACATGCCTTTGAGTGGCCAACCACCAAGAGCTACAACCCTCTTAAACACCCAAGAGTAATTATGTGTGCACTGTGTCTGTAGTGACTATCGATACGTGGCAGCAGCGCTGGCAGTAATGCGGAACGTCACCCAGCAAATCAACGAGAGGAAGAGACGGCTGGAGAATATTGACAAGATCGCCCAGTGGCAAGCCTCGGTTCTGGACTGGGAGGTATGTGTATGAATGTACCGTACTGTACTGAACAAAAGCTTAATGTTTATGTTTTTATGTTTTCCCAAATGGTGCCATTAATTCCTAAAATGTGGGGCGTAGACAGCATTTACACCCAAAGCATCTCAGACTAAAGAAAAGGGTCCATCAGCAACACCTATGCCTTTGTTTTCATTTTACCACCAGAAAGGGTCTTTGCACAAAGGGCAATAAAAGAAATCCAGCCATGGCCAGCAGCCCGTAGTAGCAATGTAAATTACATTGAATGGTTGTGATATGCTACAGTAAGCTCCCCCGCCGCTGCTTTTCCCTGTGGGCTTTTCTCTAATTTTTTCATGGCAGATTCGGGTCGAGTGAGTTTAAAATACTGAGATATTTTGGCGGCATTTTCAGACGTTTAGTGTTAACTATGAGGTGTCAAACTGGAGAAAAAATGTTAAGAACAGCGACACAGAGAGATTAAAGCGGTTAAATTGCCCGTTAACATGCTCGAGACTGACGTGTGTGAGAAAGTGTTTGTTTGAGAAAGGGAAACAAATGAATGCAGATGATTTGATCTGCAGACTCTTTTCAAGAAACACTGTGAATCAAGCGCAGGCCTTCCTGGGGGCAACAGTGCTGCTCATTGATAATAATTAATTTACTCTGATGGTAGTAGTTTCACTTGCAGAAATTCACACTGCGACACACACTTACTCAGAGCATACTTTTTATTTTACCACCAACAAAAACAGTAACATACAATAATAACAATAAGAATATATCACAATATATTTATGCTCTCTCTTTCATAAACAAGCAGAAGAAAATGAGCAAAAACGCAAAAAATAAAATCCAAAGGTTACGTTATAGTCTCCTGCTGCATTTCAGATGTGTCCTTTGTATTTAATCTGTGTATGAGACTGGATATAAAAACATTTACTTGTGCCGGTAATTTTTATATTTCTTTGCAAAAAGTGTTAAATAATAAAGAAATAATAAACAAAATAATGTCTTTATAACTACTTCAAGGCATCCTGGTGCATTTTAGTCGACAGATGAACTCCTGTTGGGAAGTTTTGGTTGTACTTACAGTAACGTAGTGGCTTGACTTGAAGTTGAGTAACATCTTTCCTCTGCTCCTTTTTCATTGTTACACACATAGTCGAGACACGGTGAAACACAAAGCAGAGGAGACTAATAAGGCAGAGACTCTCACGCTGGCCTTCAAAGTAATGACTGCAGTAATGTAAATAACATAAATAAGGTAGTTTGTTTTGACTTGCGTTGCCAGCTGAACACTCTGGACCGCCATCTTATGTTTAAATGATGTGACTGTCTTAGTCTCTTTTTAAATGCCTGTAGGCCGACGAGTGCTTTTTTACTAACATACCAAAAAACAGATGAGCTAGGATTGAAACACACACAGCAAGAAAGCGAGTGTTTAAAAACTGAAAAAGACACCTTGATTTTCAGAGCAGGACGTAACTGTGTGTTGACTGATTTCCAAAGGATTAATCCAGCAGTTTACTACTGCACTTTGCAAAGTTGGGCAGCTTGTAATAAGATTTTATTTTATTTACTAGTTGGTTTCAAGCACTCCCCCTTCCTAACCTGGAGAGACATTTAGATGTTTCAGCCTGTAAAAAAAGTTCCATAATTCCGATTTATCCCTGATGACATGATTATGACATTATCAGGTTTAATTTCCAAGACTTCTTTGTGAACCACAAAATATATTATGTAACTGTTTCCACAGGCTGAGTGCGACTAACGGTGATGAGTAAATAAATTTTTGCTGTAGCAGGAGTATTCTTTTCATTCGTTAACTCTTTAACTGTTGTGTTTATGTCTAGGGGGATGATATATTGGACAGGAGCTCAGAGCTCATCTACACTGGGGAGTTGTCATGGATCTATCAGCCGTATGGACGCAGCCAGCAGCGAGTCTTCTTCCTCTTTGATCACCAGCTGGTCCTCTGTAAGAAGGTAAGGCTGTGTCTCTCTTCAACGTCTTCCCTTTATTTAAAGACTTTATTGAGTGAAAACATGCTTGGAAGCTAAAATGTAGCCTCCACTCGTGTTCTTGGAAGTTGCAAGATCACATGGCTGGTGACAGAGACGCTTGAAGACAATGTGAATTCTTACAACCTGAAAACAGATTATATAATGCTGCATGAGACGCACCAGCCCTCGCTGAAGATGCGTTCAAATCCTCAGTGCCTTTCACAAAATGGAGCGTTGGTAGTTTAGGCTCTAATGCACCAAGGCTGTGCTCGCCTGTCAGACGAATGTTCACGCCTGGATTGACTCAATACACGCACAGAGATACAGACACAAATGCAGGCAGACACTTAGACACAAACACACACAGAGGCTGAAAAACTACATCACGAACACACACGTGTGGAAGCAGAGGAACAATAGTTTTATCACTACACAGACAAACACACACACAAAACAAAAAACAAAGACTTGGAGTTATATTGTCTTTCCACGCACACACACGCCCTCCCCTGACTTGTCACATTTGAACATCTATGGCACCAGAAATGAACTCAGGTGTGTCCTCAGACCTCTCTGTGTGCCTGCTGTTCTGGTCCACTAACAAAAATCTGCTCCGAGTCATTCTACATTATAAACTCCAGTCTTTGTTTTTATTCTTGCTTATCCAGCATCCTCAGTGCTACATATGTATCGGCTCCTAAGAGCCCTCGGGATGCGTGAGGAGCACATTACATGTTGCCTGCCTTCTTTTCCTCTCATCTCTTCCTTATCAGCACAAAGATGCACATTTGCCTCTGCATGCTTATTAAAAGACGCCCCGATCCTTTCTTTGTACCTTCGTCGACCTCGCAGCGTAACGGGATGTTCATTTCCTCCTGAGGGAGGGGTCGCGGCGAAGAATTTTTCACGTGGCCATCTTGTTCCTGCAAATGATGAAAGTTAGAAGGGTTACAGTTATTGTGCTGTGTGCGCGCGTGGAGAGCTGAAATGCAAAGCAATAACAATGTCAGTCAATACTCATTCATTAGTTGTGTTTGTGTCTTTTGCAGTATGTGTTTTATAGCTGCTGGTGTGTTGCGCTCAGGTACTCAAAAATCATGTTGCTCAGAAATTAATAGATAGAAAGTTGAAATTTCAGAACATAAATTTTGAACCTTTAACTGAAATTTCTTCTTTCTAAAAAGGACATATTCCATGACCTGACATACACCAAAAAAAGCCCTTTTTCTATGAATTCACATGAGATGTATTTTTTAAATTTCAGGTTCTTTTATTTCTTTATTTACTTTACAGTGTAAACCCAATGGGCCGTCCTGAAACATATCTGATTTAATAAAATTTTCTTTTCATGCGAAAAACAAAGATATTGCTAAAATTAAGCTTTTTCATCTTAAGATAGCTCAGGAATTACATTTATAGTTGAACGTCTTCATGTGCTTAGTAAATGGACATTTTTTAAAAAGTTACTAGGCACTGTTATCAGGCGTTATTAGGCACCTTCACTGATGTGGCCCATTTAATATGAAATTACACTGGATGCACCCTGTGATGTTAGATGAGTTTGAGACCCCTGCTATACAAATATTCGATTCATGGCGGTGTCATTTTACAGTCATTCGTCTGGTTTTAGTGTGTATCTGATAATCTAGTGCCATGCGTCCTTTTTTGTGATATTAGGCAAAGAACTGAAAAATAGGGCTGTTTTCTGCAGCGTGTGAGTGAAAGGTGTCACGTAAGGCAGACTCTCGAGATACCGTGTTTGTCGGCTCCTCTAAGATTCAGCACACACACAATGACAAAAATCTATCTGCTCTTCACCAGGATCTGATACGCCGGGACATCCTGTACTATAAGGGCCGCATTGACATGGATCGCTACGAGGTGCGGGACACTATAGACGGGCGTGACGAAGACTTCAACGTTAGTGTGAAGAATGCCTTTAAATTGTGCAACAAAGACAGCGAGGAGATCCACATCTTCCTGGCCAAGAAGCCAGAGGAGAAGATCCGCTGGCTCAGGGCCTTCGCCGAGGAGAGGAAGATGGTGCAGGAGGATGAGAAAATTGGTTAGTCACACACCGCTCTACACCTCCCTGTTTGAAAACTATTAGTTTTGTTCACAAAATGCTGGAACTTCAGTTTATTCTTTTGTATATTTATCACATTTACATAGACGAGATCGTCAAGCACATTTTAATATTTTACTAAGAAAACCTGAGTAAATCCCGAGTTTTTAAATGGTGATTTCATTCATTAAGGGAAAAAAGCTATGCCAGTCTACCTGGCCCTGTGTGAAAAAGTAATTACAAAGCCATTTCTAAGGCTTTGGGGCTCCAGCGAACCATGGTGAGAACTAATATTCAGAAAGCGGTGACAGTGGTGAACCTTCCCAGGAGTGACTGGCCTACCAAAATTACTCCAAGGATGGATGCATTAGCGGCTCATCCAGGAGGTCACAACAGAACCCAGAACAACATCAACAAGAACTGCAGGCCTCACTCGTCTCAGTTAAGGTCAGCATTCATGATTCAACAATAAGAAAGAGGCTCGGCAAAATGTTCAAGGCGAAAACCACTGCTGACCAAAAAGATCACAAAATCTTCTGTTGCATTTGCCAGAAACCATCTTGATGATCCATAAAACTGGGAAATATCTTCAAAAGCGGAACTTTTTGGAAAGTTTGAGCCCCATTGCATCTGGCAAGGAGCTAACAAGGACATCGTACCAACAGTCAAACATGGTGGTGGTAGTGTGATGGTCTGGAGCTGCTTTGCGATCGTGGCTCAAGAGTTGGGAGTTCGCCTTGTAATCGGAAGGTTGCCGGTTCGAGCCCCGGCTTGGACAGTCTCGGTCGTTGTGTCCTTGGGCAAGACACTTCACCTTTTGCCTACTGGTGATGGTCAGAGGGGCCAGTGTCCGGCAGCCTCGCCTCTGTCAGTGCGCCCCAGGGTGGCTGTGGCTACAATGTAGCTTGCCATCACCTGTGTGTGAATGTGTGGGTGGATGACTGGATATGTAAAGCGCTTTGGGGTCCTTAGGGACTAGTAAAGCGCTATATAAATACAGGCCATTTACCTTTGCTGCTTCAGGACCTGAATGACCTGCCGTAATTGATGAAACCATAAATTCTTCTCTCTACCAGAAAATCCTGAAGGAGAATGTCTGGCCATCAGTTCATGCCTTGAAGCTCAATAGCACTTAAGCTATGCACCAGGACAATGATCCAAAAACACACCAGCAGGTCCACTTCTGAAAACACAAAAATTAAGGTTGTGGAGTGGCCTAATCACTTCAGCCTGATTGAGATGCTTTGGCATGACCATCCATGCTTGAAACCCTCCCCTGTGGCTGGATTAAAACAATTTTGCAAAGAAGAATGGGCCAAAATTCCTCCACAGTGATGTGAAAGAGTCATTACCAGTTATTGCAAGCACGTTATTACAGTTCTTGCTGCCAAGGGTCACACGGTCAATTATTAGGTTTAGGAGGAACTACTTTTTCACACAGGGCCAAGTAGGCTTTCGATACTTTTTTCCCTTAATAGATGAAATGCTCATTTAAACACTGCATTTGCTATTTACTCTGGTTATTTTTGTCTAATATTAAAATTTCCCTGATTATCTGAAAGATGAAAGTGTGACAAATATGCAAAAAAATAAGAAAGAAAATAAGAAAGGGGCAAATACTTTGCTGGAATTCACTGCAAAAAACATGAGCTAACATCAAAGGGACAGTTCACCCAAAAAGTTACATTTTTTTCTTCCTCGGCCATTTAACCATTTATATCGTTTCAGTGCAAGTTGTCTAGTTTTAAAAATACAAGTTTTAGAACTATCTGCCTTCACTTGAATTGAATGGAGATGCAGGTAATCAAAGCTTTACAACATTGCAGCAGCGCCCCTTCCTAGAAATCATGACCTGCATAGCCCACAATGTCTACAAACCTTGTTGTCAGCAGTTTCATGTGCGACCTGTTCTTTCCAACCAAAAGGAGCGTGGTTGTAGGTAACGTTACAGATCAGCAGATGCAGACATCAGTGTTGTTTTCTTGTCACAAGCATGAGCCTCTTGTGATGGTTACAGGGCCATTGCTGTCTGCAGGGTGATGCACCTTTTTTTTTTTATCTCTGAGGTTTATAGATTTTGAATCTGAAAGACCAAAGTGATAATTGGGCTTTTTCTCCGGCTGGCTGGGCTGTGATCAAAATGTAGCAGAAGGTGATAAACTACAAAGTGTTTTTCAGACTGGACAGGATTTTGTTTATTGCTGGGACTGAATGATGCATCCTCTAGTTTCCACATACAGTAAAATTAGCTCTCAGGAGCTCTGTGAATTCCAAATTAAAGAAGTTTTACTGTATTTTAAAGTTATTTAAATAAAACTTATTTAATCTGCAGACCCTGTGTGAAACTTCTCTCCAGCACATAACGCTGTTGTCTTTTAGGTTTTGAGATCTCTGAGTACCAGAAGCGACAGGCAGCCATGACAGTGAGAAAAGTGACCAAACAGAAAGGTGAGGCAACAAGAAGATATCAGGTGATTTCCCTTTTTTTTTTTTTCTTCGCTGGTGTGCTCTGTCTTCTCATCGCTGTTTACTCTTCCCTTTACCTGCTCTGTTTTTTTTGCTTTCTACACCTTTTTTGACACATACTTTGTTTATGGATGGACCTAGACTAGCCTTGTAAGTCTAAGTAAGCTAGAAAAGTCACGAGCGTTCACGCGTTCTCGCTATATTACTTCAGATGTATCTCCTTTTAAGTTAAATGTCTGTCAGCCTATACATGAGACTACGTTGAAGATATGACCTGATATGAGTTGTAAAGCAGCTGTTAAGCATCAATGAAAAGACAGAGGGCTGTTTGCATGAAGTATTGAGTTTAAAGGAGGATGCCGGTGTTCATGACATGTGGGTCCTGTGTCACGCTTGCCTTGAAAGTGATTTAAAATATCGCACAGAGCTTGAATTTTTCTTCTCTTACTGAGGAAAGGCCTCTTCCCACTGCACATGTTTCGCAGAAGGTGCCGAAAAACGTTTTATCACTTGTAATTCTAATGCTGAAACACTCAACACCCTGTTTTAGATTTAAACGAACTGCTTGGTTTCTGAGCCAACTACTGTTTTGTCTATTTTTATTCAATGCAGACCTTTTATTTATTTGTTTATTCGAATAGGGACTACATAGCATGAACCATGTCGCACAGCACAGCATGGGCTAATAAGTTAATTTGCATTGCTAAGTATAGAATATAAGAACTTCAGGACTCATAACATAGCAAAGCACACACTGTAGTATAGTGAATTATTATCCAATTATTCGAGAACAGCAGGATTGATCCCTCTTTGAAGGAAAAGTGATCCTAATCCGGATCCAGTTTGAGTCCCCCTATACAAAAAATCCTGAAACCTGTTTTTTACAATTGAGGATATAGACTATATTGCCAAAAGTATTCACTTGTCTGTCTTCACACGCATATGAACATGAGTGACATCCCATTCTTAATCCGTGGAGTTTAATGCCGGTCCAACGTTAGCAGCTTTAACAGCTGGGAGGGCTTTCCACAAGGTTTAGAAGTGTTTATAGGAACTTTTGACCATTTTCCCAGGAGCTCATTTGTGTGGTTGGATAAAAAGGCCTCCACCCTAATTCATCCCGAAGATGTTCTTTCAAGTTGAGATCGGGACTCTGTGCAGGCCAGTCAAGTTCTTCCACACCAAACTCGCTCATGCCTGTTCACTGGTGCACAGTCATGTTGGACTACGTTAAGAGTTCCTAAGGGTTCAAGCCCAACTCCTGAAAAACAACCCCACACCACAATATCACGCCCACCAAACTTTATACATGGCACAATGCAGTCAGACATGCACTGTTCTCCTGGCAACCACCAAACCCAGACTCGTCCATCGGATTGCCAGACCAAGAAGCGTGATTTGTCTCTCCAGAGAACTGATCGAGCTCTCTAGAGTCCAGTGGTGGTGTGCTTTACACCACTGCATGTGACGCATCAGCTGCTCGACCATGGAAACCCATTCCATGAAGCAATCTACGCACTGATCTTGATCTGAAGGCTACATGAACTTTGGAGGTCTGTAGCGATTGACTCTGGAGAACGTTGGCGACTTCTACCCACATCAACATCAAGTGACCCCGCTCTGTGATCTTACGTGGCCTACTACTTCGCTTCCACTTTGTCATAATAACACAAACAGTTAACTGTGGAATATTTAGAAGTGGGGAAATTTCACGATTGGACTTGTTGCACAGGTGGCATCCTATCATGGTACCACGGTGGAATTCACCAAGCTCCTGAGAGCGACACATTCTTTCACAAATATTTGTAGAAGCAGTCTGCATGCTTAGGTGCTGGATTTTATACACCCGTGACCATGAACGTGATTGGAACACCTTAGTTCAATGATCTGGATGGGTGAGTGAATACTTTTGGCAATATAGTGTATATAACAGTGCCTCACCAATCCTACTAGATGCTTCACATGTTGCTGATCCCAAAGCTCATACTGGAACTACAAGGGCAACCTGATTACGTAATTTTTATGTATGAGTAAAAGTATTATTAGAAAATCTAATAAAATGATCAAAACTTAGCTTATTTGATTTCTTTTGTTTGATAGGGTGAGCTTCCCTACTTCCTATCCACACTTTTATATCATCACAGAGGGACTTGATTGCAGTAGACGCTGCATGTGACCGAGAGGTTATACAATAGCTTAAATATGCAAAGCCTGCAGAGTGTAGCATTGGAATAACAGACTGGGTATTCACAGTATTCACAAAATGTAAAGAGAAGAATCATCAGAATTCTTTTTTTAAGGAATGGACACACAAGCTTGCAGTGATTTTTAAAATACATGGCTTGATTTAAAGTTTTTGCATACAAAACGTGTTTTGCTCCCCAGACACAATACATATGTGTGTAAATTAGTCAAACTTATCCCATTCTTTACATACTAGCATGTGTGGAGTCACTGCAGCCTCTACTGACAACCATGTGAGACTCGCACAATCTCCTCCTTCTAAAAGTACGTGTTTTGATAGTGAACGACTAAAGCATTTTGAAATCATATGATTTTTTTTGATTCATCCTATATTTACCGAAAGGATTGTTGAAATGCAAACAGTGACATCCAATTGATTTTAATGATCAGACATTATTGTCTGTCTCATGCAATTTTGTAAGACAAATGCTGCATTCAGTGGGAATTGGCCATGAGAGTGGTTGTTGGTGCTTTTGGTGCAAACAGAAACAAAACAATAGCTGTTTTGGTGAACACTGAACGCTGTGATATCTCGTAACATGTTCCACAGTTGGTCATGATTTATAATAAAATAGGGAGATTATGCCTTTTCTTCTAATTTACAGATTGAAAGTGTTCTGTTTTAATGCTACATATGTGACATTAAAAATCTATGACACATGTGTGGTATCAAAAACTGCATAGAGACCTACACTTGCCACTTATCTCGGTAAAAGAAGGAAGACGTTGAACAAGTTATGCAGAATGATAATTCTCGACGAAGCATCGGCGACAAAGCACCCACATGTCCAAACTGCCGGTATCATCCTTTACTATTTAGCCATTTTAGTGCTAGGCTAGATGTTTGTACATTTACCATTACTGATGTTCTTGCCAGTTTCACAATAAGCATGACCATCCATTAAGGTATTAATGAACTAATGACCACTGCTGGAATGTTCTCTCTGACATTAGGAACCCAGTAGATGTCTGTCAGAAGTAAATGTTGTCTGTTTCTAAGTGCTATATGTGTACATTGGCTGGCACAAGGTGAAGTACTCTCTTGAATTTCAGATTCATTTATAGATTTCATCTTGAGAAAGAGGGCCATGTTGTATGGACATGGTTTGAAAATGATAAAGGTATATGCATTAGAGTTCTCCTTAGAGCTAGCACAATAAGATGCCATGGCAACTGCTAAGCAGCATTGGGAGGTGTTGTGTCTAACGTTGGCATTGGAGCATGCGGTCACTGTCCAATCTGTTTACAAGCATTATGCTGTCTATAAACAGATAAACAGGTTCCACTAACACAAAGAGATCGAACCCTTCTAACTGCTAAAACAGCGTCTGGCCAAAAACAAAAGACACTGTTTCTCATCTTCTCATATTCTTTTCCTAAGATGCCATGGCAACTTTTGAATATTTCATCTCCAAATATTGATTGTATTTAATAATGACAGTAGCATAGTTGTGATGCTTGTAGACTGTAGCTCGACGACATTGTAGACTGTAGTTAAATGCATATTAACAGCTTTCTGTTGGCTCTATTTTCGCCACTCTTGTGTTCTCAAGTGTCGAGGGTGCTATTCAAACAAACGTGCTGTTAACAAACATGGTGGAACAGCGCCCCTTTGTCCAAATGCTCGATTTCATCGGCGTATCAGTTGTAATCTGCTGCTTCTCTTGTTTGCCCGCCACAGAGTTTGATTGAATAGCATCCTTAGTCTCCCTTGTGTCATTGCTAGAGCTGAATCTCCCAATTCAGCTTTCATCATATATTCATCATATTTTCGGGATTAATATGCAGGAATGTTAACAGTGAAGGCCCATTTTGTATGTCTATGTGCCTGTTTTTGTGGAAGCATGACTTGATGTTGTGTTGTTGTGCCTGTTCCAGATGCAGTACTGATAACGTTTCCTCTTTGCTATCTGCCTCCCTCCTTCTTCTTTTTTTCTCTTTTGCTTTGTGCCCTGCACTGCCTCCTTGTCCCCTCTCCTTCCCCCACAAAACCTTCTTGCTCTTTTTTTGTTTTGTTTTTTGGCGCCTGCCTTCCCAGGTGTAAACAGGTGCACGCCCCCTTCATACCCGCCCCCACAGGACCCCCTCAGTGTGGGGCAGTATGAGGTAACGGAGGACATGGCACAAGGAGAGGTTTTTGAATTCAGTCAATCCAAAAGAGGCCAGGCTCCTTTCTGGCAGAATTTTAGTAGATTAGCTCCATTTAAGAAATAGAGATACACAGACTCTTCCGATGGACCAGCTATTTTTCTTAGAAGCACTAAACACTGGATGATCATGTCCCCCCTCCCCCCCCATGATGAAGAAAAATACAAAAAAAAACCCACACAAACACGAGACTTTGAAGTTAAGGACCAATGTTAATATAGAGTGTGATTGGAAGCTGCGAGAGGACTGAAGACTTGGATTTAAAACAAAGAGAAAACATATAAAAAAATAAACACAACTTTACAGTTCATATATGTTAGTAACATTCTTAGTTATCATGCTTCTCCGGCTGAGTCAACTGTCACAAACTCTTCCCCCCTTTCTGGATAATCACGCCATCTGAATGTCCTGAAGTCATCGAGATTGTTACATGAGATCATTTTCAATCCATCTTCTGGAAAGAAACACGAGGCCAAGCCAAGTCATTCCCAGTAGTATGATTGTGACCAAAACAAAAAAACTACAAAAAAAGCTGAGATCTTGCTGTGCTGCTATGAGAGATTGTTTGATGCATTCTTCTGAATGCGAGACGACCACCTCAGCCGATCGCCGCGGCCTGTGAAGGACTTGCCAAGCTCGGCTGTCAACCTCACCTCTGAGTTAGCTCCATCCTGCCACTGATCATGCACCCATCCAGCCATCTCTGCGCTGCTGATGTCTGCGTCTGGACCTCCTCCTCGCACTCAGAGCTTCATTCTCTTCTCTGTAGCAGCTTGCATATAATAGCCCTTTCTTTTCACAGTCTGACATTAGGTGTTCCCTTCCTTCTCCACATCCCACTCGTCCTCTCTATCTCTCCATCCACCTGCTCTGCCTCTGTGAGTCAGTGGCTCTCAGAGGAAGAGTTTCACTCTTTTGTAAACCTGCCATTGGCCGTGATGTGATGATGGGTCAGGGAACAAATCAATAGGCGGAACATCAATAGTATATTTACATCCGTTCACCAACCACTCGTGACAGGGTATTCATGTCCGATCGCGCTGAGGGGGTGTGTGCGCGCGCTGGATTTGGCAGTGAGCTTAGATGAAGCAGCTGGGAGCAGGAGATAGGCCGGCAACGGTCCGCCTGCCTTGTGCCACAGCCCCTCTCCCATCCCGCCCTCCCTAGAGACCACCCCTGTAGCACTGTGCTGGCACCTGGGTGGAAAAGAGAGAAAAAAGCACAGCCTACCTCCAGAAAACGAGCGGTAAAAGTGAAGTTGTGATGCATTGGCCAAAAGAATAACATGTCAGCTGTCAAAGAAAAGACTTCGGTTGATTATTTTGTGTCACTCCCACTGTAAAAAAGCACAGCACGTACTCCCGTTTTGAGTATGAGCGATACAAATATCAACACGTCAGTGTGACCAATAAGTAAGAAGCCCATCCAGTATTCAAGGGGGTGGGGGGTGTCTAAAAAAGTGATAATGATTTGTGAAGTGGACCAAAACTAACTGGGGAAACAAAAAAGTCCACCGCAGCAGCAAAAGCCGATACCATGTACGGAGGTAGAAAGGCGAATTTAATCTGTAGCATGCAGGTTTCCTCTGACACATTCATACATCTCTATAGACTCCAGCTCCAAACCTCTGCTTTCTGCCTCACCCCTCCTCACGTTGCCCCACTCCCCCCAGATCTGGCAGTTAGCTCCAGCTCTGCTTAAGTGATTTCCAAAGGACTGTGGCGTGATCAGATTGGTTTTGTTTAATCAACAAAAACGTGTGTGAAGCCGTGGTCTGCGAGAGATCCTAGCATTATAGAGTCCTTCAGCAGTAAAAGAGAAGATCTGAGGAAGCGAAGAGGAAAATCTTACATGCATCGTGAAGACGTATTCTTTTTTTCCCACACTTGGAATGTAAGTGAAACATCTGTCCACGGTTTGTGACCACGTTTTGACCTCAGACACAGGAGTACATTTTGTGTTGAATTATATCACCAGATGGACAGTACATATACAGTTTGACAATTTGTGCAATGTGATATATCATTCTATATCTATCACTATTCACTACAGCGTGATATGAAAGAGTTATATTGTTCTATGTCATTTGTTTGCCTTCTTATAGGCCTTATAACCTGTTGGAGAAAAAACAGACCTTACAATTGCTTTGTATGTTGTAATTTATGTTTTGTTTCAGTAAAGGAAGTTGAGAAATTGGGTGAGTTGGCTGCTGGTGTCTGTAGAGATGGCTCCCAGTGAGATTGTTTTGGAAGATAGTTCTCCTGGCTGGGACGGCAAAAAAAGATATGGTTCCTAGGCTATCGTAACCTCAGGTCCCTTGTTATGGCCCGCTCTGCCTACCTTCCCTGCTCCCTCCAACTCCCTGCTTAACACTACCACCAGTACCAACATACAGATACAAGCATGCAGGCAAACGCACACACTAATAATCATGCTTACTTGCTGGCCCGTTCTGCTGCGGAGAGGAGAGATGCTATCTAACAGTGCCTTCCAGCATTCCACTAGTGATTATCTATTCAGTTTCACAGGCAGATTTGAATTAGTCATGTATTTTCCCTTCAGTGCATCTCTCACTCTCTCTTCCGTTCTGTTCCCACAACCCCCGCCCCTTCCCTCATGCACACTGGGAATTCCTCGTTCCCCAGTGCACGAGAGCCGCTCGGACAGAAACTTAGGCTACGTTCACACTGCAGGTCTTAATGCTCAATTCCGATTTTTTGATCAAATCCGATTTTTTTTGTCTGCTCGTTCACACTACAAATAAAATGCGACAGCAAACGCGCTCTAGTGTGAACGCTCAAAGCGGCCGCATGCACAAAAGAAGACGTCACACACAACGCGCTCTGTTTAGACCCAGAGCAAACAGTATTGTTTGACTGTTTCAGACTTTACGTTTCCCATTTTTGCTTTAAGTTATAAAGTTATTTTGTTATTTACATTTGGCCTAATAATTATCCTTATTGCTGTTTTAGAGAGGAGCGGTGCTTCAAAGGATAGTTAAAGACTTCTGTCAGAATCTGCAGATTATACAGTACAAATAAAATGTTCACGTTTCTCCAACGTTGTCTTCCCAACAGTTTCACTGACATCTACACTGGATGGCCAGGAAGCGTTCGCGATGTCTTCTCGGGCGCTGATAATTGGTGTCTGTTATGTGTCAGTGACATAAAAGACAGATTTAATGCGACATGAGCATTTAATTAATGACCATTCAGCAGTCGCTTTCTAAAACATCGGATATGTATCGGATTCAGTACCACATACGAAAGTGACCCAGATCGGATTTGAAAATATCGGATTTGTGCCGTTCACACTGTCACACCATGATCGGATATGGGTCGCATAGGGTCAAAAAAGTCGGATTTGATGTGCTTTAGCCTGCAGTGTGAACGTAGCCTTAGAGGTCAGGCCACTTTTTCCATATAAGTAGATACTGTGCTGTTTGACTGCAACCCATTTAAAAATTGAAAGACGACTCATTTTCATATATTATCGCACATTTACATAGGAGCAGTTTTATTGCACATTAGAAATGTATTCCAATTTCAGATGTTTAGAAACATCGACTTCTTTTATTGTGTATTTAACACACTGAAAAACAGTTTAATTTGAATATATAGTAGGAAGCAGATTTCCATTGGTCAACTTAGGTTCGCGTGTCGATCTATATTATTAAAAGTGAGTTATGAATCAAGAGTCATCTATTTTACCTTTATCAGCTACACACTGTAAATACTGTAAAAAGAACAGATCATATATTTGGATATCGGTATTTTGCGTTGGAGACGAATGTTGTTCAAGTTCTAGCGTGCGGTAGATCTCAGTACCAGGTAATTGCATGCTTGTGGCATCCAATATTTTGCATGAGACTTAAGGCAACACTTAACGAGATCATTTAGTTTTGTTTAACTTCCAATTGAATCTTCTTTTCTTTTTTTTCCCCCGGCAACACAGAACCATTCATTTGTGTGTACCCATACCATCTCACTAAAGGGAGTTCTTTTCTCTGTCCACCTGTCTCCTGCTCACTTGGCATTACAGGTTGTAGCTTCTGTTTTTTGTATTACTATTATTACTATTATTATTATTTATTGACACATAAGAGGGGAACATCTTTTCCTGAATAAAACACTGAACTGCTGATAGGGAAAATCAAAGGCACTGATGTTCTCTTAGCCCAGATATGATGGGTACTATAAACTCTAGCATCGTTTTAAACCCACACTGCTATGCTACAGACTGCTGGTTAATATTTTTTTCCTAAATATATGACTTTTTTTGGTTTGTTTTATTTTTTTGTGGAATGCCATTATGTGCAGAGGCAAAACGGGTAATCATTTTTCTACGACAACAGTGAACCAAATATGAGTTAGCACTGATCTTGGGTGTTTGTGTATAGATTTAGAGCTGAATAAATTCGAAACCTCTTGGGACGGGCTAAAAATAAACATAATCCTGAAGAGACACACACACAGTATTTCACAGCTGTTCATATCACACTCTTGTTCCTTTTAAGTACAATGACTTGACATTACAAAGCAGTTCCTCGCTTGTATTTATTGACAGCAGTATTAAACAGTACCATTTTGGCCACATGGTTTCAATGATGTATATACGCCGGTTTGAGTTTTCTTATAAAGCTATCAATCTGACCTTGTGCTCCGAGCTGAGAGGATAGCCTTCTGTGCAAATTTATTTCTGTTTTTTCGCTTTCTCTTTCCAGTCATATAACTAAGGCAGCCAAGTTAGTTGAATGCATCAGAAGTTGCACAGATTTATGTAATTCCTTCTAGTCCAGGGTGAGCCAGTAGACGCGTTCACTCACAGTTAGCATAGCAACATCTTCAGTAGGAACTCCTTGGAGTCGGTTATGCAGTCCTGTGCTGTTCCAGAATAGTCAGGGTAAAAGTCTTCAATGAGCCATATGCCGATGTTGGTGTTCAATGGCAACAAACAGAAGACTGACATCCCACATTTGGACACTATTCATTGTATATTACCATCTGGTTTCAGGGTTTGGTTTGGGAGGGGGGGGGGTGTCTGGATTTTTTTTTTTTCAAGTGAAAAATGTACTCACAGAATCCATATCCTTTGTCATCATATGCAAACATTTGTCATTTTCTTTCTTGCTGGCTTTTGAGTTTGATTATTTGTTGTAGAGATGAAAAACCTGAAAAATAATGCCTATTCAATCCAGAAACTGTGAATGGGAGAGTGGAAATGTCAACTGTATGTACATTATATGTTTTGATGTAATCAGAAGCACTGGGAATATGTTGTACTTTGCTGTAAAAAAAATCAATCCATATCTGATATAGCTGTACTTTTTGTTGAAAATAAAACTACAGAACTGCGGGGGGGAGGGTTCGAGGCATCAGTCTGTGAGTGAGAGCATTGTGCTGGCCTTCCTGTCGTGTGACATCATCTCCTGTTTGTTTGTAGGGCCCATTCCTAACAGTTGACACATTAATTCCAGGGTATATTATGTACGATAAATAATATTACAGTGGTAATCACTAATCACACACACACACAAAAGAAAACTTTTTTTTTAAATCAACAAACTTCTAAACACTAAAATTGAATCCTGAAAATAATTATGCTCTAATCAATAAGTAATGAGCGTTATGGAAACATATTCTCCCAGCTGGAGGCGCTGAAGTGGAGGCTTTTCATTCTGCTTCCTGGTGTTTTGAAGTCCAAAGACACAAGAATGTTTTTCAGGCAAGATCTAAGACATCCTGTTGTGGTGCAGACAGTGTGTGTGTGTGTGTGTGTGTGTGTGTGTGTCTGGATGTCTAAATAAGTAAGGTGACTACATGTGTCTGTGTAATGTTACCCGAGTGAAGGAGTGAGCCAAAGTGGATTTAGTGAGGTAATATCAGAATAACAATAGTGCCTGTGAGGAGCCTCAGATTTTGATATCCACAACGTATGGTGTTACTGTGGTCTCTAGTGGCCACTGATGTTGTTACACTTCCCAAAGATACAGTGGATTTTCCAACATGGAGCCCTCCTTTTGCTTCTAAAAGCTTCATAGACATGAAAGAAAATCATCTGACTTCACAGCTACAAACAATTCGGATGTAAAACAGTCCTTTAGCTTGTTCTGGTAAAAATTTTAAAAATGTATAAAAGAAAGAAAAATTTTAAAAAAGAAGAAAAGCATCACATGGCGTCTGAGGTTTCATGTTTCAAGTAATTTCTCAGGATCAGAGGAATGTCCAAGCTGTCAATTGCAGGCTCCTTGTTAGCAAAAGGGAGGTATCCTCTGATTGCCAGTCGAGCCTGTGACATCAGAGATTTGGGGCAAACTGTTGAAGAAACAGAAAACAACATTTGTATGCTGAGGTATTATAGCACCAACTCATAACAAAAGGCACTTTACGACAATTTAGGTAAAGACCCCACAGAGTATTAAAGGGAAAACCACAACCATCAGATGATCCCCTATGAGCGAGCGCATGGTGACTGTAGGAAGAAAAAACTTCCTTTGAACAGGAAGAAACCTCTGGCAGAACCGGGCTCAGGGAGGGGCAGCACTTCTGCCATGACTGGTTCGTGTAAAGAAGAAAGACGAGAGAATATAAAATTGAATGGCATGCAGCAGTGGTGTATAAACGCATGTGAAATGTAAAGAGTAAAGAAATCCTCATTGCATCACGGGACAGCCCCCTGCAGCCTGAGCCTATTACAGCATAACTAAGTGATGGTTGAAAGTCACCTGATCCATCCTTGCTATAACCTTTATAAAAAAAAAACCCAAAAGGAAAGTTTTGAGTCTAATTTCAAAAGCACAGAGGATGTTTGTTCCCTGAATTCAAACTGGGAGCTGGTTCCAGAGGCGAGGGGTCTGAAGGCTCTGTCTCCCATTCTACTTCAGAAACTCTAAGAACAATAAGTTAGGCTGCAGCGTGAAAGCAAAGCTCTATCATCATGGGATCTGATCATTCAAGATTTTGTATGTGAGGAGAAGGATTTTAAATTAAATTCAGGTGTGACTCGCTCTCACCTCTCTCCTTGAGGAGAAGAAGCAGAGCTTCGTTCTGCTTAGTGGTTTTGTCAATGATGAGTGTCGGCAGATAGACGTCTGCTCCAAAGTCTATAAGAAGCTGAATGTACTCCACCCCACAGCCGTAGCGGAGACACACCTCCAAAACTGTCTTCGGCTGTTTGATCCTGGCCAACATTTTCTCATCCGTGCAGTTGTAGTTGGAATTTGCACCGTGAAGAAGGAGCAGTTTAAAGCAGTCCAAGTGTCCATACACAGCTGAGATGTAGAGGGGCCCTCTGCACGCTGTGGCGTTGGAGGCCCATTCGGGGACTTTGGGCTTCACATCTACCTCAGCTCCAAACCGAAGCAGCTCTCTGAGTATGTCGACGTCACCCTCTCGGGCAGCGGTCAGCACCGGGGAGCAGTTGTTGTACTGGCTGCCATTGGGATCTGCTCCAGCATTCAGCAGTGAAACTACACAGTCCAGATGTTTCCCACTGACAGCTGTGAACAGAGGCGTCTGGGCCTTCACGTCCAAGCTGTCAACCTGGATTCAGACATAAGAAACCAACAGGCTTTTTTCAAAAGTAGAAACAAAGTTTGTTGATACAAGAAATTACGCCACTGATTTATCACCGCAAGGACTTTTCCCCTGAGTAAGTATCAAATACCGTCCTGTGTGCATGCGAGTAAGTGACTGGATCACAGTTTAACACCCTTCTAAGTGAAGGTATCATTTGCACAACCCAACATCCACATGTGTGCCACCGCAAGCTGTCACCTTTACCTCAGTACGACATGGTTAGCAGCTCTGTAGCTCACTGTAAGTGAAATGTTGAACTGACAATGTTGACTCTGCTCTGCTGCTGTGGGAAATCTAACCCCCCAAGGCTACTGATTAGGCTTTGACTGAAGATAATCAATTCGTTCTGCAAATCTGTTTATAGACATCTGCTGGCTTGTGCACTGAATGCACTGGAAACAAAGAGAAACATTGTTAATAGCTTGAAAAACCCAAAGAAGCATCTAATAGATGCTCTGCAGAACTGAGACGTGCTGCGAAGTTGGACTGTGTTGGTCTTGTGACTCCTAGTAACTGCTTCCACACTGCACTTAAAAATTTGATCTATTGTTCGAATTTAAAAAATCCTTACGCCAGCTTTAATGCCCAAATTGTAAAATGTAATGATGCAATATATTGTAATATCACACCTTGTTTTATTACTCTTCCCTTTGAACAAAATAAAAAGAAAAAATCCATGATGTCCAAGTCCAAAATGTCATTTTTGTTAATAAAAAAATGAAGGCAACTTGTTACACCCTCAACATTTCATCATCCTCTCCACAAAGTCTCACCTCTGCTCCGTGCCCCAGTAGCAGCTCCAGGCACCTCAGATGTCCCAATGCAGCAGCAGTGCGCAAGGGAGTTACGGGGACCCCCCACCCACTTCGAGCATTGATAGACTTTCTGTAATCCTCCTGAGACAGAAGCTCTGAGAGCAGAGCTACATCGTCGCTGCTCACGGCGTTGTTCAGAGCCTGACTCTGCTCGCCGTCCTCATCCTCCTCCTTCGGCTGGAGCAGGGAGAAGATCTTAGAAATGTCCATCAAACTCATGTTGGCAGCTCGGCCCAGAACCATACTGGGACTCCACGCTAGTTCAAGTTAAAACCCTTTCATCTGCAACAGCAGAGAAAGACCATAACACCATAACTTGTCTATCGGCTTATGTTTTGTTAAGACTCATTTTTTAACATCAGAATAGCAGAAACATGAAAGAATAAGGCTCACAAGCATACACCGCAATCACGAGATAAATCAGTTTGTGCCAACTGCAACTGCAGCAGTGTGGGATTTACACTGGGAAGACACCTACCTCACCTTGTTGCTTGTTGATGGTGTTTCCAACGGGATAAGTCGAAACCCTTTCAGAGCTCCAATAAAACACAAGTCACGTGAAGTAAAGGTCCTTGAGGAATGCCCAATGCTTCCACTGGTGCAACGAGTTGAGAAAAGTGCAGTGTGCGCTGTGTGTGTATGTGTGTGCTTAAACTGACAAAGGTGCCAGAGCTCCTTTCTGGGGTGGGGTGGGGGGTGTTTGGGGGCTAATTTTAGGCCACAGATGGGCCTGACTAAACTTCCATTCTTGGAGACTTGAGTCTCATGTTTATAATTAGAAAGGTGATAGAGTTGTGACACTTAGCGATTGCCCAGTGTGACTTATCTCTGGGACATTGCTGTCTCTTTGCCACAGGTCAGCGTGTGTGGCATGTTAAGCTGAAAGGTGCTGCGCTTCTATATTTCTTTTCTAAGAAGAGTGGTTATTCTGCTGCATGTGTCCTGTCATCACCCCGCTTTGCCTGGTTCACACTGAGGGAGCCATTTTGGTGAGTGTCAGCTGTGTGACTGTCAGGGTCTTCAGAGAGGAAGCCAGTCAGCTGTTACCCTGCCAAACCCACCCATGTCTTCATGCTGTCCCACGTTCAGAAGGGAGGCTCTGACACGCAGCACTCTTTCAGCAGATGGCACAAGACACCAGATTCCTAGCATTGTTCAAACCCCACGAAGAGGTTTTAATTTATTTGAGCACAAAGAGCAATTAAATACAGACATGGAGGACTGGCTTTTAATGCAAACTTCAAGAACACGGACTGAAAAATGGCGCAATCTCTAAGCTGGAATAAAAATGCAATAAGAAATACAGTGGGCTTTTTTTTTTACCACAGCCAAACTAATAACATCAGTGAGACAGATTGAAAATAAACTATGCAGACCATGAAAGCAATGCGGTTGCTGGAAATGTTTAGTCCTTCACGTCACATTCCCTGCTGTGACATATCACATCAAAAAAGTATTGTGTCCCTAAACTTGACTGTACTACTTTTATAATTTTTACAATTAATACATTGCACACAAAATAGCACCAAATTTTAAACACAACAGTCCCATTTTTAAATTTCTTTTAAATAAACATATGTGTAACTAACTGCACAACATCGCTCTCTTTTTTAAAGTAAGAAGTTTCTTAATTTAAGTCTGTGAAGGTTCTCAGTCATCCAGGTCATCGTAGTCAAAGGAGCTTGCAAAGAAATTTAAGAAACTTCACCTAGCCCTTAATAAAACAATAATGTAATAATAATAACATCAAGAACAATAATGTTCTGTTTTATTAAAGTCTAGAAATAGTTTCTTAATTTAATTGAATTGAAAGAAAAGAAAAAAACTAAATATGCTTTATTGGTACCCTTTAAATTCCCCCGTCGACCGCCAGATGGAGGTAGTGGCGCAGTGATGGCAGGAAGTGCAGCTGTAGTAAAAACTAAAGAAGCGGGTGACGTGTTGGGAAAGCCACTTTCTTAATGAGCCGTGTGCCACGTTTTCAATTGTTTTACTAGGGCCTGGTTTAGCTAAACAACAACGACTGGTTTAGATACTCTGTTATCCCTCCCAAAAAATAAACACTTGGTGCCAACACTTAATTTAGCGCCATAAGCTAAACGTAGTCGAGGTTAATCGGTTGCGGTATTCATTTTCTTGAATGCCACTTTATCGTTTAAATAGATAGCAGTGAAGCTCTGCGTCTGTTTGGCACAGAATGGAAGCAGAGGAAGCGCTGAGAAACTACTGCAGAACAATGATTTCTCGTGTCCGGAACAAGCGCCAGTGCCCCCGGGAGCACAAACATGGAGGAGCCAAAGGGAGCAACTGGTCCGAAACTGAGAGACAAGTTGCATCAGCGCACAGAGGGAGTAACCTCCATGTTCTTGAACGCAACATAGACCCAGCCTCCCCTCATGTGGGTCAAGGTCCCGCTGTCCCACACGCCCCCTTTCAACTAGTTACGATGCTGAGGATCAAAACCTTGAAGGAGGAGATGAGACGGGTTATGAAACATCCTTGTGTGACTCTGTTTCGCCCTGTCTGGATGTCATTACGGCTGTTTCAGCCTTCATGTGCTCTTATTTGTTGACAGGCTGCAGAGGTGGAGCTGCACGGTCCCGCTGTGTGCACCGTGTGCGCGCAGGAACAGGCTTCTCTGGCCTTGAAAACTTTTATCAGGAGGAAAAAGACACAACTGCAGATCCAAGCCCTAAAGTCCAGACTAAACACACGTTTGGGTAAGTAACTGTTAAGGGGTGATCATCTTAAGCTAACCCGCCAGCTTACATGCATGTCAGAGTAACTGATCACATCTGTTATCTGATTCTGGGTTTTTTTCTCTTATAGGATTGGACACTTTAGGGGGAGTTGGCACAGAATCTCTCAAAGCCCTCCAATGCCCCTCTCTGGATCTGAGAGGAACTACTTGGCAAAGATATGCAGGTCACAGCAACCTGGGTTTCCTTAGCAACCGCTAAGGAACGTGGAGTTGCCCTGGCAACAGATGAAATGAGGGGTTACCCTGACAAAAAAGCTACAGGAACTCATTTAGGAGACCTCGCTGTCCTTTTTCAGACAGATAGCTGCAGACATGACAGCTGCGGTATTAATGGCGCGAGGGACAGTGGCGTAAGTGCAGTCGAACATATTCTTGCCTCTTTATTTTCAAACACAGGCTAAACCCACCAACTTGCACTGCTCGGCAGCAGCTGTTTACATTCACACCCCTAAATAACACAAATGTCCAGCCTTTGTTTTGAGTGTAATAGTGGTGGTGGGGGGGGGGGAAATGCACACTAACAGGGTTAGTACAAAACAGCAGTTTATTTTCTTATCATTGTATTAAACACACAAAACTATTCAAAGCAAATGAGTCTGGCCTTTTTTCCCCTCCAGTTTTGGTGGTTACTGAAACACTGTAAACATTAAAACAACACTGTGTTGCATTTCACTTTTAAACCTATTCGATTTTATCTTGGCACAAAAAAACAAAACAAAAACACAACAGACAGCCGTGGCAGCAGGCATGCACTGCAAAAGAAACGAGAAAATACAGTAAAATATCCAAGGCAATAACCAATAGCAACACGGGCAACATTATTCAGACAAGTTCAAATTTTCTGCATTATTACAATTACAATTGTCAGGTGCTAATAAACTACCATGGAAGTCGTACATTACATATAAACACATCCAAAGCACTGGAAAAACTACAAAATAACATTACTAGATGCTCAACCAAATCTTGACAGGTTAGGAGCAAGTTACTAAGACAGTTTGTTAAACTGGGGGGACTGTGTGGAAACTGGAAACACAGACCTGTCAGACCAGTCGTGGACTGTACACGGCTGATTCAAGGTCAGTGTCTTGGACCAGTTGTCTTTATACTCCTCTGAAGCTAAAGGTGGGAGTCTACTCATCTGGCTTCCTCTTGGGCTTCTTTGGGTTGCGGGAGCGGCTTTTAGCCTTGCATAATGGACAGATGGGAGCGTTACGATGAATCTGCTGGTGGCAGGACAGGCAAGCCTGGAGAAAGGTGGAGGTGGTTAGTGCGAGAACTTAATTTGAGGACTTTCTTGTGTTGTACAGATAAGAGGGACCACAGGTTTCATGCAGCTACGTAATCCATCGGATAGTGTCTGTTGACTGAAGCACCACTAAAGAAAGACACAAGTTAAACTCATCAACTTGTACAGAAATAGCCACAAGCAATGAAAAGTGGGCAGGTCACAAATTAAATTGATCTTTTGTCCTTATTTTGTCCCCAAAGCTGATTTTAGAAGCAGGAAAAATGGGCAAGTGTAAAGATTTGAGAGAGTTTGACAAAAGGCCAAACTGATGGCTAAATGACTGGGTCAGAGTTTAAAAAACTGCAGCTCTTGTGGGATGTTCCCAGTCTACAGTGGTCAGTACAGTGGGGCAACAGTACAATACTGTTCAAATAATGCTCAAGCAGGTACGACACCACAGTGTTTGTACTTTTATGGAGACATATGGAGTTGTAAGTAATCAAAAAAATTTGGGACACCTGTAGGAATCGCTAGCACTAACTTTGAAAGCTCAATCAACCTCCATTGCTGCAGAACAGCTATAAATTGTTAACCCATCTCTTGTTCCTTGAAATAAAAACCTTTTTGGATAGCTGAAATATACATCATTTTCAGTTTTGGATAACCTTACTACTAAAAAAAAACTTCAGTTAGTTCATCACTTACCTCTGTACCATTTATTTTTTTAAATATGGTGTTCTAAGACTTTTGACTGGCAGTGTATATACAGTGGGGCAAAAAAGTATTTAGTCAGCCACCGATTGTGCAAGTTCCCCCACCTAAAATGATGACAGAGGTCAGTAATTTGCACCAGAGGTACACTTCAACTGTGAGAGACAGAATGTGAAAAAAAAATCCATGAATCCACATGGTAGGATTTGTAAAGAATTTATTCGTAAATCAGGGTGGAAAATAAGTATTTGGTCAATAACAAAAATACAACCCAATACTTTGTAACATAACCTTTGTTGGCAATAACAGAGGTCAAACGTTTACTATAGGTCTTTACCAGGTTTGCACACACAGTAGCTGGTATTTTGGCCCATTCCTCCATGCAGATCTTCTCGAGAGCAGTGATGTTTTGGGGCTGTCGCCGAGCAACACGGACTTTCAACTCCCGCCACAGATTTTCTATGGGGTTGAGGTCTGGAGACTGGCTAGGCCACTCCAGGACTTTCAAATGCTTCTTACGGAGCCACTCCTTTGTTGCCCGGGCGGTGTGTTTTGGATCATTGTCATGTTGGAAGACCCAGCCTCGTTTCATCTTCAAAGTTCTCACAGATGGAAGGAGGTTTTGGCTCAAAATCTCACGATACATGGCCCCATTCATTCTGTCCTTAACACGGATCAGTCGTCCTGTCCCCTTGGCAGAAAAACAGCCCCATAGCATGATGTTTCCACCCCCATGCTTCACAGTAGGTATGGTGTTCTTGGGATGCAACTCAGTATTCTTCTTCCTCCAAACACGACAAGTTGAGTTTATACCAAAAAGTTCTACTTTGGTTTCATCTGACCACATGACATTCTCCCAATCCTCTGCTGTATCATCCATGTGCTCTCTGGCAAACTTCAGACGGGCCTGGACATGCACTGGCTTCAGCAGCGGAACACGTCTGGCACTGCGGGATTTGATTCC